TACTAGCAAAAATACTGAACATAAAAAGTCAAATTAATCCAGCAGCAGTTGTACATGCTCAACATTTCTGAAGGTCATGACTTCACATGTGCCACACTGGGCAGTCGGATCCCATAACTACTAGTAATCGATGAAAAAATTGGTTTAACTATATTGGCCTAATATTACACACAATGTCAATTCTAGTGGATGGGATTACAACATGGCTTTCCTAGGTGGCATTCAAGGACCTTCACCACAAGACCATCCTCCTTTTTCTTTGTAGAATTCCCTATATTCAGCTTCTGCAACAAATGAAGCACATAACCTATAAAAACCAGATTCCTTTACTACAGTGCCCCAATCCACATCCATCCTGTACAATGAACAAGACAGGGGTGCTATGAAAAAACATGCTCGTGACTACGTAATGAAAGTGTGTATCATAACACATCCACTCCAGGAAATAAATTTAAGGTTGCTAGCCAAGCTAATGATCATAGTTTCTGTTTTCTTGACTTCGCAACTTTAATTCTCTTTTAACTTAGTTTTTTGTATTTATGTTCTGCATGTTTTAAAAATATATACATGACTTTAACTACATCTCACTACAGCATTAGAGGATTTAAACCCTGAATGTTCAACATTGGAGCACAAAACTCTATTACTTGACCACATAACACTACAGTACCCTATAACACTACAGTGACTGACAACAGGAGTTAGCTGTTATGTTTTGTAGACTAGGCACTAGAAACTGATGCATAACATACTGTGTTATGCTACAGAAGTTACATCTGCATAAACATCCTATTTTGCAAACAGCAGAGTCAAGTTCTTAGTTTTGGCACATTCTTTCTGAGAAGCCATGTAGTTAATAGGCTGAAACCTGGTCCACCACATCAAAGATCCGGATTCTATTTCCACTTGGTATAACTAGTCAGTGAAGAATAAAGGTTTGATCAATAATGAGGGTGATGATGAGCACAGGATTATTTGTACCACTCAGAAGTAAGAATGGCTTCTTGGTTCCCAGCATTGTCCACTTTCCCCAAGAAAAAAGGGTGTTTTGATGGAAAGCAGCTGTAGCAAAAAGACTATTCATTTTGTCTGTTCTGCTCAAAGGTTTAATTTTGAGTGGTATGCTGAAATAAGGCAGAAGAACAGCACCAGTGCCCAGTACTGATGGAATGTGACTTGGCAAGTCTGATTCAGCAAACCAAGGACAGGAAAAAATGATTTTGATGCCTTATTTCTCAGACACAATTGAACATATTTTGTGAGTGCAGCAAAAGGCTTCTCCATGATGCTAGGATGGTCTTGCCAAATCTCAAGTTCCTGCTGCAAACCATGGAAGTGGTAGAACTCTATAATTATGGTATTTGTTATTACAATAGAAAGTGTTAGGCAACTAAACATAGAGATAACTGTTGCTGTGCCTATCACACTTCTAAGGAATTTTCATAATCAGGATCCAGGAAGTCAGCTGCAGGGAATTTGGGTGAGTGTAGAATGATGCCCTTTTCTGTGCAAAATAACGAGGAATTAACACAAGGGGGATTGGAGATACGAGTATCAATACTGACAGGTCCTGTAAAATCTGTCTTATTTTATAAGTGTGAACACTCTTTGGATCAGTCGCATTCGAGAAAAGACATACTAGAACTGATACACCAGGTCAGGGGAAAAGGCATGTGTCGGGCACCTAGAAATTCCAGCATTTGAGTTTCTCCTTTGTGAAGGATCGTCTTCTTTGTGGCAAACATGATTCTGGGCTTGATACTGGAGGCTTACATTTCTGTTGGTGTGTCCTTCAATTTATTCTTTTCCTGGAAGATGGATTGCCATTAGTAAGAACTGATTTTTGAAGCAACTTAACTAGAGGTCAACTGCTTCTTGACAAAGGCCAGAACATGTCCCTCTCTAGCATAGGCAGATCTAGGATTTAACAAAAAGGAAGGTGCAGATTGTGTGGCACATCATCACATATAACATAACACATATTTGTCTTCACTTAAAGAGAAGCTAGAAGTCTTATTAATATACTAGGGGCCTAGCACTATATTATTCAGTTAAGATCAAAGCAAAAACAAACATAACTTTATTGGAATGTGCAATAATTTCCTAGATGACATATAAAGTTTAAAAAACACAATAAGCTGAGTAGAAACAGTTAAAAGATATTGCTTCATTAGTCCTGTAGTCATTATAGTTAAATGTCCATCACTTATTCAGATTTGTAAAACAGAATATAGTCTTCTTGAGTGTCTTGACAATGCATCCAATACTTCACTGTCAGTCATTTCCACACCTGAGTTAATGTTCACCTGAGTTAATATTACTATATATGAGTTAAGGTTTTTAGCTGAAGTTTAAAACAGTTTATAGGGCTTTGAAATAGAAGAGAGAAGAAAGGATAATGTGATGAATAATAATGAATACTGGCACTCAAGACCATTAAAAAGGAGAGAGGGTTGTTAATACCTGTGGAGTGAGGAGAGATTGGCAGGACCTAGGTAGATTACAATGAGCCATGAGGTCAATCGACTCCCTCAGCATTGTCTGAATAGAAATGTCACTGCTCCTCCCAGGATCTCTGGATCTGCCACTACTCTCTGGTAATTAATATAATGCATTACCTTGTGTTCACGTTTGCTTGACCTTCCAAATATAGATTTGATACCACTTTGAGAGCCCTTGAATTCCTATGAGTGCCCATCACACAGCTCATATTTTTTATACACTGATATGCAAGGGTGTCTAGCTTGATCTCATACTATAATCCATGCAGGTGAGATTATTCACTAGACAGGTACTCCTTTGTATTCTCTGACAGTGTCCACCAAAATATGAGCCAACACCCTCCCGAGAACTGGCTACTTTAGTATCCAGATTACTGAACCAAGGACAGTAAAAATCTTTCAGCCAGCAATGTACTGGACTCATTTTGGGCTTTTCATGTTGTAATGGTGTATGATGACATGGGACTCAACTATTTTAAGAAGAGGTGAATGGTGCTCCCTGGAGGAGTCCAAACTAATTGGTTTAAGCTGACTAGTTCTTAGAAACTGTCTTGTGGAAGTAAAACAGAGATATCGTTAAGCTGATGGTAGTTCTGATTTATGTTATCACCTGTTTGGGGTGAAAATGGATTTTCCTCAGTTTATTTTCAATCCCTGATCTTGGGAAAAAAAAAGAGCAGATGGACAGTTGTGCTGGCTGAAGTTTCAGATATGACCATAGTCAGTCAGTCAGTCAATCAGATATTGATAAACATGGATCATTGCCCTTTGGAGATGTGAGGTTAGTACTGTGAGGCTCTTTGCAAACATCACAGATGTTCAGGCATTTTCAAGGGAGAGACAGAGATGCTTCCCATGTGTTGGCACAATAAGATTGAAGAAATCCAAACAATCCTCTACCTTAAGAGAAGGAATCATGTAGGCTGTTATCATTCTGAACTTCAACTTTTTCCTGTGTTGTTCAATCTTTTCAGTCTATTAACATCAGTCTTTTCTGGTCTATAATAGATATAAATTCTCCTGTTCTTTCAGGTACTGAGAAATGTAGTGAGTAAACCTTTCCTTGAAACCGCACGTTTGTTTTATGTATACATCTTTTTCCTCCTAATTGCCTGTATGGAAAATTGAAAATCTACTTTGTATTTTAATTCTTTGGATTTAGGGCCATAGTATCTAGTCATAGTAGGACAAGCTGATTTAGTTATATATTGTTCAAAATGAAGACTATTACATTTAATTTCTTCTTGTACTTTATAGCCGGTTAGCTAAGCAGATTTTTTTTTAATCAACATAATTTCTGCCAGGTTCTGGGCATCTTGTGAATGATACTTGCAAATTGGGTTACCTGAAAAATCCCTTTGACTGCTATACTGAAAATCTTCACTTAGATTCTGAGTACACATGGAAAAAAATGACACTATGTACTTGGGGACAGTTTCAGGATGTTTCTAGCTCTGCTCATGGCTATGAATCCTCCAAATATAATTCAACCTCCCCCCATGAGCTTGTGAAGAACTCTGTGCAAGTGTTCTTCTGTGTTTTTATTCTGTGTCACTCAGGTAACACAGAATAAAAACACAAACTGAATACTCTCAATGGCCTTTCACATAGCAAGGTCAAATATTCTGCCACAACCACCATTTTGAGAGGCGAGCAAGTATCTTTTCAGACACACCTGTTGCTCCCTTCCTTAGTCCTTCAGTAGGAGAAGAGAACAAAGATCTTTCACATATTCTCCTGTCTTTCAGATTTTGCTTTCATGGGAAAAGAGATTCCAATCATGATCTATTCCTACATGCCAGTCCTGGACCCCTGCCTCACCCATTTTGCAGTAGGAGACCAAATATTTAAAAGAAAAATTCCCTCTGCTGTGGCTCACATTAAGGAATTACTCCAAACCAAGATCTACATTTAGTTCCATCAGCTATATGGAAATATGGGAAGAGCTGGCATGCTGGGAAAAAGGGAACAGATTCTCATGGCAACTGTATCTATGTTGCACCTCGAGAGAAGGCAAAACAAGCACTAATTCCTTAGTTTGTTGTTACGTATGAGAGACCAGATTTTCAAAGTTATTTAGATGCTTGAAATGCAGAGCAGTACTTAGTTGAAACTAGGCCCCTAAATAACTTTACAAATCTAGCCCTCTAGCATCATCTTAAATAAAGACAATGAACACCACCAGAAGAACAGCCATCCAATTCTAACATTTTATCATGTGAGGTTATTCTAAAACTATATTAAACAACAGTCAAGCCTTCACCACAAAATAGCACAAATCTTTATCCCTGAAGTTGCGCTGTATTATGACCACTAATTCTTATTAGTTAGAGATGTCTCACTTTCTTTTTTTTCCATTTCTGTTAAAATTTGAAATTTCTGTTGAACATATTATATGCAGCACGGTTTAGAACAGGACCCTTTTACAGAGCTTCAGACAGTATCACTGAGGCTTTTTCTATGTCCTAAAATGCCTGTAATCATAATTTTTCTGAATACCTGAAAAAAACCCGGTGGTACAGGACCTACTGGCATGCCATCTCCTGGGGGAATGTTTCCTAGCACTGGACTGGGAGCTGCTGCAGCACTCTGAAAAGAACAAAGGAAAAATAAACCTTTGTCATTGCATAATAGGCATAAAACCAAAACACGGCTGTGACCAAAATGCAGAAAGTAAACTCTCTGGATATGGTATAATTTGTATTGTTTCCTCAAAAGGTAAATTGTAGTTCAGTAGTGTTTAATTTAATTCTGTACCAGTGAACTTGTTAATTTAAGTTCAGAAATATATGTCCTTTAGGGAGAAATTTGCCAGAAATTACACAGGGCGATATATGTATTATATATATTTATGTATATATGTATAGCACACAAATACATGAAAATTAGGTATGTATACAACAAACACACAGTATGCATAGTATAAAGGGACTCATTTATATAAGCTATTAACACTTTTCAATGACTTTCATAAGTTCAGCAGACTTAATATTTAAATTATGGTTTTTTGGCCAGGATTCTTTTACAAATAGTGTAGCAAAGAATACTCATGATTCTACAAGTCCCCAAAATAACCATCATGACAGATTAAAAGAATTCAGTTACATTTTTGGAAAGGCAAAGAAAAAAGTATTTCTAAGAAGTGAATCAGAGGATGAAATTAGTTACCTTTGCAAATCTTTCAAATGGAATAAGCACATAAGGAATACAGCTCCTGGCAATTTACAAGCAGGAGATCATCACAAAAATAGAAACCAAACTGTTATTGTTATCACGTACTGGAACCTCATTTACTTTTAGTTTCTAGAAGGCTGGGCAATGTGGCACCCTATAGACTAACTCATTCAGAGGCATGAGCTTTTGTATGCAACAGGCTAGTTTGTTAGATGCTATGAATGGACTTGCAGAGAGCAGGGTTACTGGACTTTATTGAGTATGTTTTCAGCAGAGACTCTGGATTCCTATTCCATTCCATACACAGGCTTTTTTAAACCTTATATCCCTCAATGGGTTAACTGTTCTGTTTATCCCCTTTGTTCTCTTCAACTCACCTTTCCCTGTCTCAGCAATGCCCTCTCCTTTCTTTCCCTTTTCCTTATCTTTTGTATCTAAATGATCTTATTTCTTCCTATTTAGTACCACTGTTCTCTGCAAGTCCATTCATAGCATCTGACAAAGTAGGCTGCAGACCACAAAAGCTCATGCCTCTCTCAAGATTAATGAGTTAATCTTTCAAGTTGCCTATACAGGTGCTCAGCAGTGAGGATGGAGGGGGCGGAGTTAATTAGAGCAGTTCCTAGACAGCTGCTCTAATTAAGATGGCTCACCATCATGATTATTAAAGCATTTCAAAATGGCTGTGAGATACTTTATCTAAAATTCGTGCGATGAGTTTTAGAAAAAGCGCCCCCACAGCCATTTTAAAATGCATGGGCTCTTAATATTTGTGACGGTAAGGTGACGCTGGAGCAGTCTAGTTATAACATTTTAATTAGAGCATTCTAATTACAGCGTGGAGCAGACTCGATTAATCGTGTCTGCTCTGATGTGTTCTAATTAGAACATGAACAAATGCGTCTATAGGCATTGTAAGATACTGACATTGCCCTGCCTTCTGCCTGTCTTCAGACTAACACCAGTAACTCTCTCTTTCTCTACTTTTAGTTTCTAGTTGCTTTCTTTCCTGCAGTAGATTTTGTTAGCAAAAAGGGCCAGATCATCTAGGCTATTGACAGATGTCCCATTTGTGCCAGAAGAAAGCTTTTCGTCCTGAGATTGTACAGGTGTATGTATCCACTGTCCCACTTTAAGTCCTTCTGAAGTAGGCTGGATAAAATACAGTAGCCCTTCTTCCCCAGATACCCTATTTTACATTTATTTCAAACATGTTTATCCTGAACTCCATACGTTCAGCAGGGCTGATTGATACAATACTTTAACTTTGAAATTGGTCACAAAATCAGTCATATATACCTGAGCTAGCAAGGCATTTGGCTCACAATGCATTTTTGTGCAAGATTAGCCCAAGCTAATGGAGCTATTCTATAGACCCACAGTTGATAAAGATGAATTATTTACTAGAAGTTGTTCTTGAAGAGTCACTTCTCTTCACTCATGGTTGTGGGATCTGGAGCCTCTACCATCAATTGGCAGAACTTCATAAAAAAGTTGTGTCTGTTTGGCTCTTTAAGGACATCATTGGTCCTGTTCATAGAAAGCAGGTACCATTTGGTACACCTCAGTTCTTTCTCCAGTCTTGCAGGGTCCTGAAACACAATATATTCTGAGGCAGAAAAGAAAACTAGTGTGCATGGAAAAAGCAAGTCTTGATGAATAAATTACTACTAGGAATCTCTTTGTTCTAATGGTTCCAGCATTTCCACTTATGAGATACTGGCAAGCAGTACCCCTTCCCCAGCAGATGGCAGCTAAAGGGTCAAGGAGGGGCCAGGAGTTTAAGACAAAATGGACCTGCCAAACCAAGGATCAAACTGTAATATCAATAAATAATGCCTAGTAAAAGTATGAATAGAAATCTATGTTGCTGCTTCACAAATCTCTACAATATGGATAAACTAGCTCCAGAGGTAGCTGTGGCCATAGGAACGAATGTCTTTCATTCTATAGGTACTGGCTTTCTGGCTAAGGAATGAAAACAGCAGAGTTAAAATCAACAATGTTAAATGTATATACATTAGTGAGATGCTGAAATCAGTCACCACTGGAGCTTCAAGCTGAGAAAGACTACTCAAAGAGTGTTTAGATCTTAAAGAGTCTCCCAAAATGAATGAATAAATGTATCTTTCTTTTTTGTCCTTGGACCCTTTTTGTGGACCTCACTGTTTCCTCAGCTGAGGAAAGGGGAGACCCAGGTTACCTGGGGGGGACAGGACGGGACAGAAACCTGGGTTCTGGTCCCTGCTCTACAGTCACCACCATCAGTCATTTAGGTTCCTCCCTGCAGAAGCAGGAATAGGCATTCTGGATTATAAGTAAATAGAACTGTCTGTTTTACAGCATGATCCAGCCACCTCAACTGTTGAGAGGTACAGGCTTTCAGACACACCCCTGCACTTAAGCATTTCCTACTGGCTATGCTTCAGCACCTCTCTTTAGTGGGAACCTAGTGCCTAAATCCAGTTAAACCAGGTCTGCCTTCTGGGGCTAAGTTTCAGATATTTCAGTGCCTTGAGCAGAAGTGCTACATGACCAAGCTGGATCTGGCCCAGAGTGAATACTACAACATAGACTGGGAAAATACTAAAAGGAATAAATCATTCTAGATATATGTTGCTATTATCAGTAACACGGTGCTAACATAATTTATTAAATTGATATCTAATGATGAAATTTTACATCATGGAGTCCAAATATTTATATAAAGCTTGATAAAAGATACGTTTGGTCTCCGTTACTCTATCCATCAGCAGTGGAAACACCCAACTTTATACAATGATTCCTCAAACAGAGCTTGGGTACACACAAGTGAGCTCCTAGTCAGCTTTCTGGGACTCTCTCTCTAAACCAGTCCTGAAGAAAAACAACATACAGAATAAAAATAATTTCTACATATGAAGGAACCCACTATTTTTTTTGTGGATTTGGGATATTGTCTGCTATGGAAGTGAAGAGGCTCTAGTTCTCTAGAACAGGAGAGGTTGAAAAGAACTGAATATTATATTGCTGTGTTAGGTGTGGGGAAGCAGCTTGTTTTTAGGGTGCAGACAGAAGTGACAATTTTCGCCCTATCTGGCAAAATACCACAGGAAGTGGTCTATAGCCATGTCTAAACACAAGTGCACAGCTGCAAACTGCTTTAAAATGGCTAGTTGGGCAAAAATTTTAATCCTCATTGCATGAGGGGTCAAATGAAGATGTTTCAAAACAGAACATCTTCTGTAACTTCTTTCTGAGCTGCCTCCTAGCCTCAAGCTGTTTTCAGAATGGGAGGGAGGAAAAGGAGCGGAGGGAGTTTGGTCTGGGAGTTTTTCAGCTGTGCTGGAGGGTAAGGTGGGTGTATTGGAGCCCACCCACCAGTACACCCACTATACCTTCCAGTGCTGACTGGAGAATCCCTAGAATGAGCTCCCTCTCCTCCTTTTTCCTACTCTCATTCTGAAACAGGGACAGGGTGGGAGAGAGAAGGGGCTGTTGTGAGGGGAAACCAGTTGCAGGCTTGCAGCCATAAGCTGATTATCCTCCCTCCTGGAACCAAGAGTGAACTTCTGTTTGGTCTGGGGGATCGTTGTAACTCAGAACACTTCCTGCAATGCGTTTTGAGTTAGAGAGGGACTAACTGCACTTCTGTCTGCACCCCAAGTTCTCCTGTGTGTGTAATGGATCATTGGGCTTGTATAACTTGCTCTGAACATTACTTTGTGTTCCAGTAGCTGCCTTTGGAGGGCCATTGGAGAATGACAAAAAGAACTTAGCAATGCTATTGTATGCTAAGACATTGTGATGTGAGAAAGGGAATTTCTTTGGTGACAGTGAAAGGGGGAAGAAAGCAAAAACTTAGATAATTTTGTGCAACATTTTTTACTAGCAATGAGTCAAAGATGAGATATTTATTCTTAATTTTAGTAGTTTCAGGAGTCAGGTGTTAGCTATGGGGCTCTTTGCTTTGTGCTGTTTAAAACAAGTGTAATTGAGTTAATTAACTAATTTAATTAAGTTAATTAACTTTATTAAAGTTACTGTCCCCTGTGATTTGATTATAGACCATAACACTTCTGGGTGGAGTTCAGTGTTGGTTTTAACCTAGAAAGCCCTAAATGATTTTGGATCTGGTTACTCAAGGGACTGTCTGTCTCTCTGTACAATACTGCCTCAGTTTAAAAGGAACAGGGGTGCTGGAATTGTATTCTTTGAGAGGCTTTTAGCTCTGAAACTTGATTCTCAACCATGTCTGGTGACAGTAACATTTATTAAGCTAACAGGCACACACAAGTTTTTTTTCACGCTTTTGAAATGAGAAGGAAAATAGAGTGGTTTTTAAGCTTGGGTTATCACTGTGATGGTGGCCAGTTTTGCCATTGTTCTCTTACATTATCATTAAGTATGTTGCTTATTTACATTAAGATTATTGT